CAATATGTGGGTGGTGGGGGGGGGGGGGGAGATTATTATGAGTTGTATGCTCTTCTGAACATTCCCATGCGCTCCCACTTTACTCTTCAAGGAACAGTTCACCAAATCTGTCCGATGAAGAAACAAACTAAACCACATCTTGGATGGCCTGAGGGAGAGTACATTTTCAGCATATTTCCTTTTTAGGTGAACTACTCCTTTAATGCTTTTTCCCTTCCTATAGGATGTGAACTCTTCCTCATTCAAAAAAATCACACACATTTATCTACGCTGACTGAGTATATAGAACTATATATGAAAATCCCAAATGATAGATGTTGATGGTACAGTAACAGGTTTATAAATCTTCCTCCTGTCTCCGGTACCCGGGTGAGGCATTTCCACAGCAGATTGATTTCATTAGAGCATGCTGTTGTGTGTGTGCAACCTAATGCGTGCTAAAGTGTGGCCGATCAATGAGGATAGAGACTGCGCTAGAATTTCGCTTTCTCAGCACACCGAAGGTCGCAGCTCAGTCTGTTCACTATGACCTCCACAGGCCAGAGGACATCTGTCTGACCTGACTGGTGACCACCTGCTGTAGCTCTGCTACTGCAAAACTCACATACAACCATAAGCTTTACTATACTAAATGCCCTCTTTTAAAGGATAGCTAACCAAAAATGTGGTTCAAAATAAAGGATGAGAAAATGGCGAGTTTCATTTTTGGTTGAACTATCCCTTTAAGAAAATAACCAGTTTTGAGGGTAATGCATTTCAAGTAACATGAGTTGCATAATCAGATTAATTTTTCCAAGTAACTTAAGTAATTTATTACTTTTAAATTTAAAGAAAATATCCAAGTTACTTTTTCAAATAATTAACGCAAGTTACTTTGTTTCCCCATTTATTCCCTGATGTCTCAGTGTTGAGAGAAATTGGGAGTGAGGTGCAGAAGCAGAAGCACTTCCTCGAGACCAAGGCTTTATTAAAAAATAAATAGTCAAGCCCAGCTCAGGTGACAAAAAGTAACGCAATGCATTATTTCCCATAAAAAGTAACTATAAATCGCAATTAGTTAATTTTTATGAAGTAACCCAATATTGTAAAGCATTACTTTTAAAAGGAATTTTTCCCAACACTGAACATAACCGGTGCTTATCAGTATAACAGAAGTTAAATAGCAGGTGAGCTAAACATAATGCATAACATACAGTCAGCCAGACATTGACGCAAAATAAATCCTGATAGGGTCATCAGTCTTAGATCACCTCGTCAGGGTCTTTTGTTTTCGGTGTGTGACGCAAGCCAGCAGATCTCTTTGTAATGTGACTAAACAGAACGAAATGGGACTCTCAAAACTTCACACATGACTGAGTAGAGAGCACCTCTGACCTGGATCCACTACAGTATCATTTTGGGGATTTCAACCCTGACCTTAACGGATTGCATTTGGACTTCATTGATCATCTGGCCAAAGCAGTCTTTTGTGGTCACTGACATTCCTGTCCCAAAAGGTTGCAGAGAGGTCCCATAATACCAGTGACCTCTCACCTTCAGGACTGGCCATGGAGTTTGGTTTAATCAAGTCACTGGACTTTGCATCGGATGACAGCAGTTGGTGGCGCTTATGAGAAAACAGCTCATCACTCATCATTGATGTTTTGATCTGTTCGATCATCTCATCAATTCATCAGTTAAAGAGAAGGCACAAATATTTTCTGTAAACTTGGAACAACTAAACATTTTACATTTGACAAAAATGTGCAGTATACTGCAAACTATAGGACACTGTATCCCAAAATGCATTGCATACTACAACTGCATCAGAGCACAACTTTATTTATAAAGCAAATTAGTGGCAATGGTTTCTAAGACCTACACAGGCATAATTTATATATGGATATACAAGTAGTACACTTAATATGCAATTGCAAACAAGGGCTGTATCCAAAATCACCCCCATATACTATTCTATACATTATTCCTCTCCAGTCCTCTATAGGGAGTGAATGAAAACAAGTGAGTGAATTTGGAGACTTGAGTAGTTTGTGCTTACTGTTTAATAATCATCTGACACTTAGCTAACTGTCAAATTCTAGTAGTAACAAAATTAAATTGATATCTTTTATAGAACTTAAGTTGTACTAAACTAAAATTAAAAAAAAGTAACCTACATCTGTATGATTCCATTGTGAACGGCATTTACTGTCACCCGACTATTACGGTGCATTATGGGTATTCACTAGCCATTGAATGTACATCGGCTGTAAAATCATTGTTACTGTGCATTATGGGATTTAACGACTGCACTCCACAACATCCACTTTGGTTTCTGGCACCACTCCAAATGGCTGTCCCTCCCTCAAATAGGGCATTATACTGTATATGGGTATGGGGGTGGTTTATAGATACTGATGTAAGACATATTTCATGAACACTTGGTAAGTGCAAGTGATATTTTCACACTGTACTGTACAATGTATACATGAAATTAACTTCCAAACAAACAGCCATCCATTCCACACAAAGCTGCAAGGAATGAGTGCACAACAAAAACAGCATTAGCTGAAAATTGAAGAAAAAAAAGAAAAGTTGATATGAAACACTCAGAGATGTAGTGCAGACAGAGAGTGATGACTAAAAATGTTCGTATTCACTCAGTCGCAGGAAATGATCTGTCATGTAGGTCTAGTGCAGCGCTGACCTCTGTGCCTCTGACATGAAATCTGCCTCACATAGGCATCACTGGGAAAATCATATAAAAACGGGCAACGACGATGAAAAAGCACAAACATCATCTTCTCAGAACAGTAAAACGAGACATCTTCACTGCTTGTTGAAAACTTTGTGTATTTAACTTAGTACTCCTAAGGTTAGTTCCACTCTGGGGGATCGACTGAAGGGCCTGACATGCGTGATATGACTATGCCAGGCCCTGTCTTAATCAGCTGGATCTCACTAGTAGTCAGTGCACTACTATTCAGAGTTTGTTATTTCTAAAGCAGTTCAATTGTCAAATATTGAATATTCCCATAAAGAAAAATAAACGAACATCAATTTACCGGTGACGTTGTCGTGTTTTCTTCAGTCTCGAGCCATAAATTAAAGAAAACAAGCCATAATCCATGATGGCAACAAAGATTAACAAATAAAACATAATTAACGTTATATCACACGATATCAGAGGCCCGTTCTTCGTATGTCGCTTATTTTATCCGAGAAGAAATGTCACATCCAAGATGATATCATCGCGCTAATCAGGATCCGGCTAATTCGGTTCTTCGAAAGCACCTGTTGTTGATGATTAGTATGGCTGGATTGAGTTATTTGAGATAATTGCGCGCAAGACAGCAAAGTAATGACATCATATAATTAAAAAAGACACCTGAAGAAAAACTTTTTTTGGGGGACTTTTATAAGAAATCGTGAATATAAATAATTGGGAATCATGTAAAAAATTTAAATAAAATAAAAACAGTGCACATTTCATTTATCTATTAAAACATTTATGTAGTTTTGTTCGCTTGGCTGTTTCCTTATAAAAGTCCAAAAATTTGTCAAGTTTTTCGTCAGGTGTCTTTTTTAATTATAAGATGTCATTACGTTGCTGTCTTTCCGCCAGCCAATCGCTGCATTGCTGATCGTGGTTTCGAGTATCGATACATAGCCCCTTTTAATGATGTCATTACGTTGCTGTCTTGCCGCCAGCCAATCGCTGCATTGCTGATCGTGGTTTCGAGTATCGATAAATAGCCCACGTTAATAGTAACGACACGAGGGAGTCGAATAACTGTGTCCATTACCATTATTTTGATTCAGCCCATTGAAATGAATCTTTTAAACATGTTCACCAAAAAGACTCTCCCTGCGTCCCAATGTTCATACTATCCATCCTAAATAGTAGGTGAGATTATAATAAGTGTGTCTCAAAGCATAGTATGTTGAAATGAGTATGCCAAAAGTCCCCGGATGGTCTACTATTTCAGGTCGATTTTTGAAGTGTGTATCCGTGCACACTCTAATGCAGTGGTCGCCAACCCGTCGATCGCGATGATCGACGGTTAGGTAGAGAGGGTTACAAAAAGGGGGTTGAGGTACTAATAATAAACATTTAACCTGGTAAAACATATTTATTTATTGTTATCCGTGTTATATTTCATCTGCAACAGCAATGTGAACTTTTATAAAGATCCATTTTGTCGTTAACTTTCAAATGCATCATTATGCAGAAAATATGAGCAGAGTTCTCCGCATGAAAGACCCGCGACTGGCAGATCAACGAGCTACTTCTTTTCTCTCCTACGGTAGGAAGTTAAATGAAATGAAATGTGGAGGATGTTAACTGTGACAAGATGGCTGTGATTGACAGGCCAGTTTACAGTGACGTGGTGCGACAGAGTGGTCCTTTAAAGACGCAATTGTGTGACGTGATTGTATGTCCCAAAGCTTGCCTACTCTTCTACTACACACTCAAAAGTGTGTACTTTTTCTTCACCAAAAGAGTACATACTTTAAGGGCGTAGTATAAGTAGGCACATTGGGACGCAGCATCTTTCTGTAGGTTACATCACTACACCAGTGGCTTTTTGAGTGAGTCTATGAATCAATGACTCGGAATCGTTTAAAAACTACATGTCTTTAACAACCAAACGGCGTTTATTTAAAATACTCAAATAAAAAAACTGCAGATGAATGATCATAATTACTGATTGATCAAGGCGACTCGTGTCTTTGAACATTACATTTAATTTCAATAAACCTGTCTATAAACCTGAAATCTGAATCATAGTCGATTCTAGAAAAAAGTAAATAAATATTCTAAATGGAGCATATCTGCAAAGCAAAATTGGGAATAGGCTACCTGAAATTATTTTAAAAAGGCAGGAATCTATAAATCAAATCTAGAACCAATAAAATGTTTTCACCAACAGCATCTTATATCTAAATTCAAAAAGTCAAAAGATATCCACTTAGAAACCAATAACAAGGTTTGCAGCAACAGTCACTTCCACAGAGGACAGTAAAAGGCAAAAAAGGCCTTTCATGCTGTGCCCTACAACATGTTTCCTCAGGTCATAAATAGACTGAAATTAAACATGTTTTTGATTAGCATGTGAAGTCCTGACAGAGTGAGACACATGTACCGAAGCAGACCTGCACATTGGATTTGATTGTCAGCTGTGCACTTCCTCTGAGACCGCACTGACCTGTTAGCCCATGACCACCAGCGGAGACAGTAGACAATTGCATTTCAACAAATCACTGATCTTCAACCAGCCATAAAATCTGTGAATATATTACTGCACCTTTAAATTCAAAACCAGCTGTTACTGTACCAGTTCTGACCCAGAGAGGGTTTGTCAGAGCAGCTGAATGGTGCGCAGTGATTTGTGGTCGGTGGGGAACGGCTGAGCCTCAGCTAGGGAGTGCTTCCTGTGTCATCTCGTGAAAGGCCATTTTACAATCTGAGCGGTAGGCTTTATGGACAGCAGGAGAGAGATCTCAACGCCCCTGATGTATTTTAACAGAGATGACTCTGTTCTCTCCCTCAACACATAAATCGACACACGTTAACCGTGTTTCCGAACTCACTTTTAAAGTAGTCGTGTAGATTTAACCCATATGCAAAAGAGAGAGGGGAAAGAATAGTATGCATTGTACCACAGTAAATTTTAAAGGGTTAGTTCACCCAAATCTGTGTGACTTATTTTTCTCCCGTGGAACACAAAATAAGACATTTTTGTTCATATAATCAAGGTCAGAATGGTCCAAAACAACACTGGACCTACTACACCAGAAGTAGTAGGTCATCCGGGTACTTTTTGCCTACTCTTTTATGAATACTGTGAATTCAAACATACATTTTTGGCACATACTGTTTTTCACCTACTAAATAGTAGGAAATTATGCAATTTTGGATGCAGCCAAGGTCATCAAAACGGTCATTTGGCTCTTTTTTTTAAAGTGGGAGTTTCTAACTAGTAATACAAGTGGCCAGTCTCTGCTATAGAGTGTATCTAAATATTTGACCTAGGATGCACTAAATATATTAGTCAAGTCTTTCAAAAATAAATTTTATTGGAAAGTTGCCCTACAAAATTTGCACTTCAAATAAAGTAAAATAAATTTATTTTAAATTTGTCTAAGTTATCGCTAAGAGATA